ACCGCGCATGGGCACTTCACCGCGTACTCGGCGCACTTGACACTCGCGCCATTGACGCCGCCCTCCACTAGCGGGCGCTGCGCGCGCTGGCGGGCCCAGTCGTACTTCGCGAACTGCGCGCATTGTGCGCTGGCGGGCCGGGTCGCACTTCATGCGCTGCGTCGCGCGCCGGCTGGGCCACGCCCGGCTGCTGCGTCGCGAACTGGCGGGCCCAGTCGCACTTCGTCGTCGCCATGGCCGCCGCGAGACCCTGTCTCCTCGACGAGGTCGCCGCCCCGCCGAGGGGCCGCACGCGCGCTGGTCGAGCGGAGCCTGACAGCCCGCCAAGTTCGAGAGCGCCAACGCAAATCGCACCATCGACGCGATGTCTGCCCCAGACGAGCGCGACGCCCCCCGCGACCCCCGCCCGCGACGAAGCGAGGGAAAGTCCGCGGCACGAACGTGGGCGCCAATGATACACCATCGGGCTGACCCCCCAAAGAGTCGTTCCTTGAACCTCTTCCGGTGGTCAACTTTGATGAAATCCAAGCCAGCATCGCGACTGAACGTCTCGACTCGACCTCCGACATCGCGCAGCGATCGGCCGCGTTGCGCCTCGCCTGCACAAATTCCGGAGGTTGCGAACATCTGGGAACAAGGCCGGGCCGCGGCCTTCCGCTCGGCCAGAGCGCGCCGATCGTTCGCGCGATGGGCCGCTGATTCGATATCAGCAAAGATGCCTCCCGCAATCCGCCCTGCCTCGCTGCCGAAATCCCCGCTGCCCGCGGCGCCCGCCAAGAAGCTGCCAACCCTGATCCGGCAACCGCCCTCGGCCGGATGCACCAGCAGCGCCGAGGGGCGGGCGTCTCCATCCAGGGGCGCCACCAGCGTCGCAGCGCAGAGCGATCTGCGAAATGTGCACTGCGTGCGTCGGTGCTGTCCCATGAAAACCATCATTTGACCTTGCCCATGCGCTGCGGGCAATTCTGCGCGCGAGTCGGTTCTGTCCGTCACGGGCGCCTCTGGTCTCCGCCGTCGAAGCGTAGACTTCGCCCTGGAAGTCCAGGGCGACGAGGCTCTCGCTGCCGCAGTCCGCGGGCTGGCCCGCGCCTTCCCAACGTACCTATATATGTATATATGTATACATATATACAAATATATATGCAAATATATATATTATATAAGTATAGAGATACATATCTACATGCATAGCCGAAACAGGGGAAATAAAACGTAGATCAAGAGCGCGAGCCCTCGCCGAAGGCCAGGGGCCCCACGGAGATACCAAGAGCGAAGCGCATCGCAACGCAAGGGCCCCAACAGCGAAGCACAGGAGGGCACCGTTTCGAGACCTGGGTCGTTCGAGGCCCGCACGCCAGATGTACCCACCACGCAGCGCCCAAGTGGGGGCAGGGTATCGCCCTCGAACTCCACTGCGTTCCCGCCCTGGCTCCGTTCGCAAGATTGACCTGGACACCGAACCCCTCTGGCAGGGGCCTCGGGAACTGGATCGGCGCCATCCCCGCAACGACGCAGATGCACGGGGCGCCCGCGCGCTCGTCGAAGCAGGCGGGCATCGCCCAGCACCCGAAGGCGCGATTCGCCCCGCCATCCCCAAACCCGAAGGACCGCTTGCACTTGTAGAAGTGCAGCTCCTCGCTCGGGCTGCCCTTGCTGAGCACCACCGCGCGGCACCCAGCCTCCGATCTGGACGCTGACGCAGCGGCATCGCAGTCCCGAATCTTTCTACGGGGTCGATTCTGGCACGGCGATTCGCAGCGCTCGCCTGTCTTCGTCAACCTTCACCTGCGCGATGTCGTCGTCGCGCGGCGGCGTTTTCGGTGGTTCGGCGCGCCCCCGCGCCCAGTTTCCTGGCTTGCCACGCCGTAGGCATGCCGACTATGAGCCGGGCGCCCGCCCGCCTGCCGCGCGGGCCTGCCGAGTCTCACTCTGCCTCGGCCGAGCGCAGGGATTCGTTGGTGGGGTGGCGATCCCGTCGCCAGCGCTGCCCCTAGACGCTCAGCTCCCGCCCGCGAACTCTACGCGCCCACTTCATCTGCTCCTTTCCTGACTGGAGCCTTTCGACGTAGCAAACGGACGCTGCTGGCGTCGACCATCGCCGCGGGGGGGGGGGGGCGCGTAGACCACGTCGAACTCGCCGCCGTCGGAGACCTGGCTGCTGGCTGGATCGCGATGATAATAGACTGCGGCTCCGTCGCACAAGGCCTGGTCGCCCACCTTTTAGCACCCGCCCTCGAACTCTGGCCGTTGCAGTACTGAATGCGGCGCGCTTCTTGTCCTATGGCGTCTCATTCACCGTCGACGCCATACTGGTTCCACGTCTGATTAAGCTCGTAGAATGCGCTGCATCGCCCGCGCGCAGTCACAAACGCCCCGATGACCTGTCGTGGGCGATATCATTGCCAGCGATAGTCATGATGCCTGCCTCGTGGTCTGAACTGTACCCCTCGTAGTAGCACTTATTACCATCTGACGTCTGCGATCGCTCGCTGTCGCAAATTGAACTCTCGTCTGACTGCTCGGACTCTGGAAACGCATGCGCAGATCGCGTCAACCTTTAGCCAAAACACATGGTAGACATACTCCTCGAAGTCGTCCGCCAAATCCTTCTGGGCGCGCATATTGAGCAATCCTAGCAATTGCCTGAACGTTCTCAGATTGATGAGAACGCCTGCCGAGGGTATACGTCCCAGGCTTCAACACTGAGGCCTGCTATCGCGTGAGCTAAGTTTCCTTCCTTCCTCTCGAAATTAAGCTTCGCCGCGAACATGGCAACTTGATTCTCGCACTCCGTCTATATGTTAGCCTTTTTCTGTCGACCTGGGAAACTCCAGGCCCTGTCAAGACATTCCGCAGGGAGCCAGTGCCAGTTAGCGTCGCCATATTGATGATTAGAACCTTCGCGTCGGTCTCGGAATCGGGTAGGTTGTCGGGTATGACACCGGGTAGGATGTCGAGGAGGTCCGCTGTGCTGCCGTTGCCACTGTGACCCTCATTGGGCGTCGATTCCTGGCCGAAGCTGGTGTTGCAGCTGTCGAGCTAATCGATGTTGCTAGCGTGCGGACATTGAAGATACAAGCCTAACGTACCAGGTTCCGCTCCCTATATGAACATGTCCAAGCTCCCGAAGTGTTCAAAAGATCTGAAAACCAACCATGGGATCAAGAAATGGCCATCGGTTTCTGGCACCGATCACGTACAGCTAAACGGACCTCGAAGGGCTCGAGTCAAAACGGCGATGGAGACTGCAATCTCTCCCGCCTCTTCCCATACATCACTACATAGGCTACATTGTGCAGCATACACTTCAGAGGAAGGAGAGGATCAGGACGAATATTGAACAGGAGTAGAAGAGGGCAAACGAAGAGAACGAGAGAAAGGGGGGCGAGGGGGATAGGGAGCACGACGATGGGAATGACGATAGGCAACCGACACGGCGGGGATGAGGGCGAAAGCACGGCAAGAGGAGGGACGATGGATACGGGACGACGGATACGGGACGACGTAGGGGTTTATATGTAGAGGACCAGGCCAATGACGACAACGAGAACGATTTTCTCCGCATGCAGCAGAAACGCCTCGCTCATGCAAGGAACGTAAAGACAACTGCCTACCAAATGGAGTGCCTGCAAAAGGATCTCAACCACACGTGTAGTCTGCCGCCAATAAACGCGGGGCATGGCGCGAACTGTGCGACTCTGCGTGAACTACATTCAATGATGGAGATGATAATGAAACTACGTCGGTCATACTGCCGTGCCAGTCCAGAAAAGAGTATTGCTGAGGCACAGTGCTCACGACTGGTTTGGAACATCCGACGGCGCTTTCGGGGAACCTGCGTAAGCTACACGCGAAACTGCATCCCTGCACAGTCAGTTCTGGAAGAAGCACTGTGCACCAAGGGAGCAACATGCGAAAGCGAAAAGTAAGAAGATGATGCGGAGGAGGAGGAGGAGGAGGAGGAGGAGGAGGAGAACGCGCCGAAATGCAGGAGGACGACAACGAGAACGAGAACGCGACGACAACGAGAACGATTGCGAGAATGAGGGCAAGGAAAACGCACAAGAAGGAGAGAGAGGAGGAGTCAAGGTAGGATAACAATTCGCGTGGAGATGAGAATGAGGAAGGGGACGTGGAGAATGTGGAGTCGCTAATGATCACGATAACGATGGTGATTGTCATGAAGACGAAGAGGACGACGATGATGAGCCAACGAGGATGAGGAAGGAGAAACGAGTGATGACGGAGACATGAGGAAGGGGGGTTAGGGAGGTAGACGAGTATGATTGACGAGCTGGGAAGAGGAGGAAAGAAAAATGCGGACGATTGGCAATATGGAAGGAGACGAGAGGTCAACTCCTCCACCTTGCGCACGATCCAGCTCCAATATTTCGAATATGACGTGTAGGGCAGCCCCTCCTCCTCCTCCTCCTCCTCCTCCTCCTCCTCCTCCTCCTCCTTCTCCTCCTAGGAAGCAGGAAGGAGGGAGAAGGGAACAGCAAGAAGGGAGTAGAAGAAGAACGAAAAAGAGGGAGGAAACAGTACGGATAGGGGGAAGGAGAACGAAGCCGAAGACGAAAGCGACGACGAGGAAGACGGCGGCGGCGACGGTGGCAGCGGCAACGACGGCGACGGCGGCGCTGGCAACCGCCGCCGCCTCCGACGACGCGGACGCCGACGATGACAGAGACGCCGCAGGCGAAGAAAACAGGATGAGAAACGAAACAAAAAAAAGGATGGCGACGCCGCTGGGCGACGTCAAAGAAAAGGCTGGGCGACGCGGAAACAAGGGCCCGGCGAAGATAGAAGCATGGCGACGCCGCTGGGGACGAGAAAACAGGAAAACAAAACAAAAACAAAAAAAAATGTAACAAAATAATTTTAAAAAAAGGCGACGGCGACGGCCAATGGCGACGCGCTGGGGACCGCCGGCGACGCCGACGGCCACGAGGCCGACGGCGACGATGTCGGCGGCGGCGGCGGCCGGCGGCGGCAGCGGCCTGGTGCAGGGCGTCGATCTCCTGCTGGCGGGCGGCCTGCGCGCGCGGGGGGCGCGGCGCGGCGAGGGGCGCGGCGCGCCCCGACCTGGCGCCCCCGGCCTCGGAGTGACTACCTACCAGACCACCCCAACCCAACCCGAAGACCCGAATTTCGGGTTGGGGGGGGTAAGGGTTCCACATGTGTTTTTTCGATGTTTCCCCCCCCCCCACACTGGAAATCGGAGGTAGATCTGAGCCTTCGGGTTGGGTTGGGGTGGTTTGGTGGGTGGTGACGGAGAGGGGAGGGGGCGAGAGGACCCCACCGCAGGGCGAGGCGAGCGACTGCTGGGACGCACGAGGACACGCTTGTACTGGATTCGGGTCGGGCGAAGGGGGGGGGATAGCAAAGGAGGGGTCTGAGAATCAGCTCACGTGGCTGGTATCCCCGGCGCCTCCCGGCGCCGGAGGCGGCTACGTATCGAGGAATGGGCCCCTCGGTGAGGCCGAAACCAGCCGCATGCAGCAAATTTCGTAACCCCCCCTTTCCCAATCCCCCCCTCTCGTCCGGCCCGATATATGTAGGGGTCAAAAAAAAATCCACGCCCACAATAGCCACCCCGACACGCGAAGACGTTCAGTAAACGCGCCCAGAGAAGAAATCAAACAGGGCAAGGCTTTCAATAAACGCCGAAGGCCGTTTCGTAAACGCCAATTGTCTGGTCCGGGTGGTCTTTCCTCCCTTGAATATGTGCTTCCTGGAGGCGCGCGTTCGACTCGAAAATATAAGATGCCCAGCTTGTAGTATGTCGTTTCCCCAGCGGTGTGGCCAGAAAGCGCCCGCCACGACGCATGTACTATGAGATTTCTCGGTGCGCGCGTCGCCCCTAGCGGGGCGACGCACACATAGCATTAGTATGGTGGGGGGACGCCGAACTGTTGGTCGGAGCCTTCCGCGGGACGCACGACGTGGCGGGCGAGGTGAAACTCGCCAGCCTCAGGGCGACGCAGAGAAGCGGGTGGCTTCTCCTTCGCCTCCGTGTGTGCCACAGGTGCAGGAACCGCCGCACGGGAGCTGGCCGCGGGAGCTGTCGGGGCAGAATCGGATCGGAACCCAGCGGGGATCTCTCAGATCTGGCGGCTCCCGCCTTTTCCGCCCCCATCAACCCTGTCAAGTAATAGTATGCGCGTGCTCGGTGATCACGGAAGGTGAATGTTCTAACATCGCTTGCTACAAAGCATTGCAAAGCCCACACGCGCGCGCCAATGTCGAAATCACACCTACCACTTCAATGATGCACAGGATTCAACATATAATGTTGTCATGTAACCCAAGCACGTTCGGCTACCATCACGAATATTGCAACTGTTCTGCCCGCGCGCCCTTGCTGAAGTCTTCGGGAGCCATATCGCCCAGAACCCACATCGCGCGGCGCATGCGCGTTGATCCAGCAGCGTGCGTCCAGCGCACGAACCCCATGTCGAAGAATACCATGCGGGCCACCTGCGCGAGTCGACCGCGCGCTCCTGTCGAAATCTGTCCAAAACCATCGCTTCCGTTAGAAAAACTCATAAAATGCCAGAGCTTGGAGATCTCCGCACGCGCGCACTGCCCCACCATAATCCTCACCAGTGCCGCCGCATCACGTCCATCGTCTTCGTCGTCGACAGTCACTGCCATTGTCGCTATCATCACTCAAGCACCTTCACCATCGATACCAGCGTCCCCAGCATCGGCGCCGTCACTGGCTTTGCCGACGTCATCGTCATCATCGCCACCATCTTCGCCATTATCACAACCGTTGCCGCCGTGGTCGACGTCATCATGATACTGCGCCCGCCGCCAGAGCCACCGATCCGCAGTGAAGTGCCCACGAGCTAGTGCGGCCTTCGACGCGCGCTGGAAGTTCCCATCGGTAAGTGTCATCGTGGCCGCTCTGTGCGCGAGCTTTTGCGCGCCAGCGCGGCCGCAAAGATGCGCCAACCATGGCCAAGGAGTTACCGCAATCGCCGCCGCATGGGGCGACATCGTCTTCGTCATCGCCATCGCTGCTTCATGAGGTTTTGCCAGCCAAGTCACGGGAGGAAAGGTGGGCAGGATGTTTCCACGTGCTTGGGAGGTGGTCACGCGCGGTGCTGTGTAGTTCATCGCACCACATAGATTGCACCACATTGCTTCTACCACATATATCACATCAAATAGATCGCACTGCATCGGTTGCACAAGTGCTGTTCGCAACACATAGATTATACACCGGGCCGATTCCATCACACAGCTTCCACTACCTAGCTTCCACCGCATAACCTGCACCACATAGGTTGCATCACCTAGCGCTATCTAGAACGGACTGTTTGGGGCCCATGCTGGCTAACATTCTGATTAACTTCCATCCTCCTGCATGCCTCCTCGTGTCCCAGTCCACGTCTCCCACGGTCGGACCTGGGCCAGAAGAGCACCCCTCAAGAGCACGAGATCCTTCGCCGGCCGAAACACACCGAACATCCGAGGGCACCCTCCGCAGGATGCACAACGGCATCCAACGAACCCGAAGAACGCTGGGGTACCCTCCCCAGTCGGACTTCCACCTTATACCTTGGTCCGCCTGCACTCCTCCTCCTGTTAACACCTACTATCAAACGTCAGATGTACACATAACCACACGTATGTAAATGTGCGCACATGTGTATATATGTAAAAATGTGAAGACATATATACATATCTATATATATATATACAAATACATATATGTGTGCATATATAAACATATATGTACGATTCCCCCTCCTACTCCTCCGCTCCCCGCTCCTCCACCCCGCCGTCTCCCTGGTCAGGTCCGTCGCCCCTAGCCGCCGCCCTCTCCGCCATCCTCGTTGTCGTCGCCGCCTCCGCCGCGTCCTCCGTCGCCGTTGTCGTCCTCGTCGCCGTCGCCGTCGCCGTCGCCGCCGTGGACGTCGTCAACGTCGCCGTCGCCGTCGTCGTCGTCGCCGCCGTCGCCGTGGTCGTCGTCGTCCTCGTCGCCGTCGTCGGCGTCGATGCTGTCGTCGGCGTCGTTGCCGTCGTCGCCGTCGTCCTCGTCGCCGTCGTCGCCTCCCCATCATCCTCCTGCAGGCGCCCCAGCGCTCTGGCCTTCCGGTCGTCGTAGGTGGAGCTGCCCTGGACGCATGCCTCCGCCGCGCGAGGGGCGGGCACGGCCATCGGAGAGGTCGGGCAGGGCCAGAATTCTGTCGGGCGTGTCCCCCTACAGGGGGATTTTCTACGAAAAATAAAGTTTACCACAAAAACACAACAAAAAGGTCAAAAAATACTCAAAGAATAGTCCCCAGACTATTTTGGGACTATCTTTGTATTACCTTTGGGGTATTCTTTTATTTTTCGTCGAAAATCCCCCTGTAGGGGGACAGGCCCGACTTGGCCAGAAGCGGGAAGGCACTCTGGCACCACAGCGGGGGGCCCCCGTCGCAAAGTGGGCCAGCGACAAGCCACACCCCGGTAGGGCCCCCGAGGCACCCCAGCCTCTGTGCATGGGGTTAGAGTACAAAGGTACAGAACCCCTGATCCGTAGGTAATTAGAGGAAGGAGGGAAAGATGAGGATCTTTTCCTCCTGTGCGACCAGCGTCCTGGTCTCTTCCAGTACCTGAGCCGATAGGGCAGGCAAAAGGGCGAGTGAGGAGTAGAGATGAGGGCATGAGACGGGTTCCTTTCACAGCCTCCAGCCGAGGGACCTGAGCCTTGCAGGGGGGCCCCGGAGCTCTCTCGGGCCCAGCGGGGCGCACTCGGGGCCGTGGCCCCCCGAGAGCGGCCGCGCGCCACGGAGATCTCTCGCGAAGCCCTGCCCCCGAAGGGCTGCAGAACGGCTGCGCGGCTGCCACGGAGTCTGTGCGCAGCGGTTCGCGGCAGAGTACCGCGGGTTCGTGTCGTGCCGACCCTGACGTCGGTTCCTGACCCCGCGGGGATCGTTCAACCTTGAACGGTCGGCCGTTTCCGAAACATTCCGAAACGTAGGATCGTTCGACGATCGACCGATTTCTGGGTCGCCGGCGGCGCTCAACAGTGAACGCCCGCGCTGGGGTCGCCGCCGGTCGACACGATGCGAACAGGAAGGAAAGGAAGAGGCGATACTGTGTAAGGTCTATCCACCGAGGCCGGCGTTGCAACAGTTTGTCCGCCAGGGTCGCTCTATGAGAGGGGAAAACAGGAGAAAGGGCAAGAGAAAACAATTGAATACACGCAGAGACGCCATGGTGATAACATGCGTGATAACATTCGCAGCATCCCTGACCCACGCTAGTGGCACACATGCAAGCAGATGACAGCATAAATGGGCGAGTAACGCACCAAGGTGTCCTCCAAGAACAACTGGATTCGAGCATCCCTCGCTGATGCATGTCGAAATCGTGCCTGGGCATATCTATCTCAGTACCGATCCCCGCCGATACCCAGATTGGCTTTGAGGGCCTGGTACCCGTGAAAGGCACGTCCAGGAAGACGCCCACAGACGAGATCGTCACCGAGAGCCCGAGCCAGAGAGGAGCAACGGCGGGGGACGGCGAGAACACGAGAACGACGACCACAACCACGCCGACGACGACGACGACGACGACGACGACGACGACGACGACGACGACGACGACGACGACCACGACGACGATGCCGACGCCGACGCCGCCGAAAACGCCGACGCCAACGGGCGACGCCGACGCCGACGACGACGACGACGTCGAAGCCGACGCAATTGACGACGACGCCGACGACGGCGGCGGAGGCGTCGACGACGGCGATGGCGACAAGGAGAGAGGAGGGGGAGGGGATTCGGAGCAAGGGGAGGAGGGGGGAGGGGGGGGGAGGTGGAGTGGAAGGGGGAGGTGGAGGGGGAGTAGGAGGGGGAGGGGGGGGGAGGGCAAGCTAGGTGCGCTCGCGTCATATCTGACGTCCTACCCCTCCCTCCCATCCCTTACCATGGCGCTGATTTTCTCTATCCGCGGACGCGTGTCGTAGCGGACCTGTGGCTCCGCGCGCGCGTGCGTAGTGGGTGGTGGTGCACGTGCGTGCGTGCGTGCGTGTGTGCGTGGTTGTCGTGGTGGTGGTGGTGGTGGTGGTGGTGGTGGTGGTGGTGGTGGTGGTGGTGGTGGTGGTGGTGGTGGTGGTGGTGGTGGTGGTGGTGGTGGTGGTGGTGGTGGGGTGGTGGTGGTGGTGGTGGTGGTGGTGGTGGTGGGTGGTGGTGGTGGTGGTGGTGTGGTGGTGTGGTGGTGGTGGTGCGGCGCGGTGGTGGCGGGCGGATGGGCGCGCGAGAAAAAGGCCCGCGCTGGGGCGAGAACGCCATCCTGAACGACGGAGGCCAAACACCGATCCGAAAATGAGGCCCACGCTGCAGCGGGAGCACGATTCGGAACGATTCGGGAGCAGAAATGAAGCCGGCGCCTCAACGAGAGCAGCCTCAACGAGGCATTTTGGGAAAAATGACGCTGGCGCCTCAGCGAGAGTCGTTTCCCGGGATTTCCTGGGAATCCTGTGTGTAAAAAAACAGTACGCGGAGGGTGCGCGGCCATCACCCGGACGCCATCAGGGGAAGAGGGAGAGTATTTTCATATTGAGTAATTGTGGAGGGGGAGGGAGAGGAGAGGGGAGGGGGGAGGGACATCTTGGGGGGAAGCCTGCGAGGGGGGGAGCGGCGCGGCGGAGAAGGAAGTTCGGGCTGGCGGGGGGAGTGAGCGCGCAGCAGTGCCTCGGTTGGCCTCCGGTCGCCCGGGGCCAGGCGGGAGGGGGGGCCGCGCACGGGGCCGGCGCGCAGGGCGGGGGCTGGTGCGCGAGGCGCGAGGGGGGGAATGGGGAGAGGGGCGCTGTGGAAAGCTCCACCGACGGCGATGGCGAGCAGAACGAGGGTGACGACGATGACGAGATGGAGGGAGGAGGGAGAGAGGAGGAGGGTAAACGAGGTGCGCTCGCGCCACATCTGACATCCGATCCCTCCATTCTAGCCCTTCCCGTTGCGCTGATTTTCTCTACATCCGCGCACGCGTGTAATAGCCGACCTGGAACTCCACAGAAAACACTATTGTGTTATGCGCAGTCGGGAAAGCGAAATTTGTGGAACATGTTCGACCTGGGGGACCTCTGTGGCCTGTGGGGCCTGTGAGACCCGCGACGCCAGTGAGACCTGTGGCACCTGTGGAACCTGTGAGACCTGCGAGACCTGCGAGACCTATGGCACCTGGCAGGACCTGTGGAATCTGTGGGACCTGGGGAACCTCTGCGGGACCTGTGAGACATGCGACACCTCTGGGACCTGTGGGACGTGCGGAACCTGTCGGGCCTGTGGGACCTTTGGGGCATGCGAGACCTGCAACACCTGTGGACCTGTGGGACCTGTGAACCTGTCAGACCTGTTGATACCTGCGGGGCCAGTGGTACGACCTGCGGCACCTGCGGGTCCTGTGGGACCTGTGGGACCTGTGAGGCCTGCGAGACCTGCGACACCTGTGGGACATGCGGGACCTGCGAGACCAAGAGAAGTAGCCCACGCTGGGGCGGGAGCGCCATGTCGAACGACAGGAGCTAAGCGCCGATCCGAGAATGAGGCCCACGCTGCAGCGAGAGCAGCATTATTGAAAAGCTAAGCACGATGCGATTGTAAATAAAAACATGTGACACAAAAATCGGCACAATTCTGCGTAAAAACAAAAAACGCGGAAGGTGCGGAACATCTTCCGGACAACTTCAGGGGAGAGAGGAGAGGTATACTCATGTTGAACGATTGTGCAAGAGGAGAGGGAAGCCGGGGGGGAGTTCAGCCCCGCCACACCACACAAGGTATATGTTTCTAAACCCTCCACAACTGACTACCCACCAGACCACCCCAACCTAACCCGAAGACCCGAATTTCGGGTTGGGGGGGTAAAAGGTTCCACACGTGTTTTTGTCAATGTACCCCGACACACACCCCTCTGGAAATAGAAAGCAAATCGGGGCCTTCGGGTTGGGTTAGGGTGGTTTGGTGGGCGGTGGACAGCAGGAACCGATGTCAACCCACACAAAGAGTATGTTTGTAAACCCCGCATAAAGGAATCCGTTTGCAAACCCAGACTGACTCTGCTTGCAAACGCTACATACAAGGGATCCAAGTGTGAATTATGTCCCAAAGGAGTCGATGTATAAAGCATATGACTTAATAATAAAAAATGATCCCTCGAATGAGGAGGAGGCCAACACAGACCACAATGAGGAGGCGAAGAATAAGGATGACAACGAGAAGAAGAGGAAGAAAAAAACAGGAAACGAGGACCGCAGTAAGGCGAAGAGAAAACGAGGAAACGCGAAAACGCCTTATCCCGAGCACATCGAGAAACGGTCACGTAGATCTTAGGGGGTTAGGAGGAGCAGGCCTCCGCCTCATGATCTTCCTCCCTCATCCCGTGGATGAGCCCCGGAGGGCTTAACATGGCCGACGACGACGACGACGACCACGTCGACAACGATGCCCCTCGATCCTCGATCCTCGACGTCCTTGGTCCTAGGTCGACGGTCCACCACCAACCTCATCCTCGATTCTCGTCGTCGTTCTGCTCCTCCTCGTTGCCCTGCTCCCCAGGGGAGGAGAGAGCCCTGCCGCGGGGGCCTTCTGCAGATCACTGAGGTACTGGGTGGTCACCTCGTGCTCCTCCTCGACGTGTTTCTTCTCGGCGCTGAGTGTCGCGGTCTTCTCGACCTGCCTCTTCTTCTCCTCTTCCTCTGGCAGGCTCGAATAGCAAGCAGGTGTCTCCTCCTTCTCGTCCCTCTACTTCTCTTATGAATAACTCCCCCCCGTCGCGACCCCAGACGTGTCGGTAGGGTGAGCCGGGCGTTTCGCCTGAGACTTCATCACCATGTATGATCCTGAAGCTTGAAGTGTACAATAGCTTACAGGATGGAGGGCGGGTCCTTTGCAAAATGCTATTTTCGCCTGAAGGCGGCGCACATTCGTCTTGAAAATTCTCAGCAGCTTCAAACATGGCGCGGCTGGTTTTCAAAAGGTGGCTCTCGCCCAAGCGCCGAGCACATGTGTCTTCAGCTTTGCGTCAACTTCAAGGATGGATGCCAGCTCCTTTTTGAAACGAAGCCCTCGTCTTAGCGCCGCGCACATTCGTCTGAAAAGTTTGCAACAGCTTTAAGGATAGAGGGCGGTTCCTTATCAAAATGTGGCTCTCTCCTGATCTTCGCGCGCATTCGTCTTTAAAGTGCAAGAGCTTCAAGGACTCGGAGCGTTGATGTCCCAGGAATGGCGGTCTGGAGCGATTTAGCGTTGTCAGGACGCAACTGTCACATGGATTTGCGGTGTTGAAATCCCAAGAATGGTGTTCTGACACGATTTGGGATTGACAGGACACGATAGTTACACTGATTCACGACGCTGAAGTCCCACAAATGATGCTCTGGCACAATTGAAAACTCTCAGACGCTTGTCTTTGGGACACTCCCGCAATGGCAATTTTAATTTCTTGTGGGGACCTACGACGTGGGAACTTGGAGGAAGGGTGTATTGCAACCTCGTTGATGCGCGTTGGGATTACTCTGATCACGGATCCTCGTCCTCATCCTCCTGTTCGTCCACCCTCGTCCTCCTCCTCCGCCTCCTCGCCTCTCGATCAGACTGCACAAGGTCTTTTTCATGGTCGACGCTCTCCTCCTCCTCCTCCTCCTCCTCCTCCTCCTCCTCTTCATCCTCCTCCTCCTCAGTATCATCATCACCAGCATCAACATCATCATCATCATCATCATCATCATCATCATCATCATCATCATCATCATCATCCTCCTCATCCTCATCCTCATCCTCATCCTCATCCTCATCCTCATCCTCATCCTCATCCTCGTTATCATCATCATCATCATCATCATCATCATCATCATCATCATCATCATCATCATCATCATCATCATCATCATCATCATCATCATCATCAGCGTCATCAGCATCGTCCTCATCAGCATCATCAACATAATCCGGACCACCACCAGCATCATCGTAATCGGTACCAGCATCATCATCCGTATCATCGTCGTCATCATCATTCGCATCATCATCAGCATTATGATCACCATCATCATCTTCATCAGCATCATCATCAGCAGCATCGGCAGCATCAACATCATCGTCAGCATCATCAGCATTATCATCAGCAGCAGCAGCATCAACAGCATCATCATCATCCTGATCATCAAAATCCCCTCCTCCTCCTCCTCCTCCTCCTCCTCCTCCTCCTCCTCCTCCTCCTAGGCGTCCTCATTATCCGCCTCCTCCTCCTCCTCCTAGTCAGCCTCGTCCCCATCCACAACTTATCTTTCCCTCCTCCTCCTCCTCCTCCTCCTCCTCCCCTTCAAGCAGCCTTCGCCTCCTCCTCCTCCTCCACCTCCTCCTCCTCCTCCGCCTCCTCCTCCTCCTCATGATCATGATCATCATCGTCCACTTCCTCCTCATGCTACAGATCTCCACTTCTCGACCAATACCTGCAAAAGCCATTCCAGGCCCCGATCTACATCCATAATATGGTGCAGTCAACCACTAGAGCAAGGGCCCGAGGTAACGATGCAAAACACGTGGTACCCGTAGGAGCTCGCGAACACAGCTAGCTGAGGATGGAGCGAACATTCAATGGACAATGGGCCCAAGAGCAGCTGTGATGGCGACTACATCCACATTTGCTCTCAGTTGGTTGACTGCACGGCCCATTAATTCTCGAGACGAGGTCGAATATCAGCGATACACGCTACGCTACCGAAAAGCTCCCAAGGCCACCAGGAGCACGCCATTGATGGCTTGGACGTGGTGTTTCCACCTGCGATCCTTGACCTCTGCCTCCTTCATGCGCGTGGCCTTCTCGATGTCACAATCCTTCATCTCCTCCTCGTAAAACTTCTGGTCGCTCTCCTCCTGCACCTTCGTGGCGGCCTCCATCTTGGCAAACTCCTCGTTTGTCGCCTGGAGCACCGCGATGATGCCGGAGCCTCCCGCAATCTGGGCGTTGACCCTAGAAACCCTGGAACCCATTGGGACCCCCTCTTACGCCGAAGACTCCCCCAAAGGCTCCTAAAGGATTCCTGGTCCCCCTCATCCTCCCACCTGTCCTCCTCCCTCCTCCACTGATCGTAGAGGCCTGCTTCCATCGGGTCCTTGACCCCCGTGTACCCGGCGTCCCAAGTGCTGGGCGTCTCGGGGAGATCGACCGGCTGGCGGCTCTTGGTCTGCATGAGCTCCCACGACTCCTTCTCGATCATTCCACTCTCCTTTGCGCCTCCTCCTCCTCCTCCTCTTCCTCCTCCTCCTAATCCTCCTCCTCCTTCTTCCTCCTCCTTCTGCAACTCAGATCAATGATGGTCCGGAGGATCTGTGGGATCAAGCAAACCCTCGGAGAATTATGGCATCAACGGGTCCAGAGAGCTCGCGGAGCGTGAACATGCGCACGCGCTGCCAGAGTGCGGCCGTGGATCCGTGCGCATGCAGCAAGACAGTGGTCGTGGGCACGGCATGTGATATGCATGAGTCCAGCCAGCCTAGGTGTGGCGCGTGACCATGTGGCGGAACGCCGAGCTGTCATCAGTCTGCTGGCAATTCGGTTCCGCCTGGATCATGCGGCAACGATGACCCAGCCAGAACCAAAGCTGCCCGACCATGGTCGAAGTGGGAGAACCCTGTGCGCCGCTTCGCAGTGAACCAGGGCATAGTTTTCGCACGCTCTCGAGCTCATTGCGGGCCCTTCCAGAGCTGCGCGTCTCGCATTAAGATTATTGTCCTTATCCTCCAGTTCCTCTTCATCTTCTTCCCCATCCTCCTCCTCCTCCTCCTCCACCGCCTGGTCCCCCTCCTCCTTCTTCTCCTCCTCCTCCTCCTCCTTCTCCTCCTCCTCCATATCCTCAATATCCACAATATCCTCTATATCCTCCTCCTCCTCCTCCTCCTCCTCCTCCTCCTCCTCCTCCTCCTCCTTCTCCTCCTCCTCCTCCTCCTCCTCCTCCTCGTCAGCCTACCCGATGCGCGACGCACGCGCAGACCCCAAGCCCACACGAGGCACGAGGGGCGGAGCACCGGCAGCAGGGAGCCGGCCCCCCCCAGGCGCACAAGAAGAGGCCCAGGAGCACCGAGAGCGGGAGCCCGCGCCTCCCCGGGCCGCCCCCCTCACCGCGGGGCGGGCCGCCCCGGGCCGCCCCGAGGAGCGCAGGCCGCGCCGCGCGCGCGCCCGAGGGCGGCGAGGCCCGGCGGCGGCCCCAGGGGCAGCGGCGGGCCCGCCCGCGCAGGGCGCGCCCACCCGAAGGGGGGCGGGGGAGGGCCGAGGGCCCCGCGGCGGCTGCAGCGCGGCAGGCGCGCGCGCGCGCCCCGAGGCACGCGCACGCGCGCACGCGCGCGCACGCGCGCGCACGCGCGCGCGCGCACGCACGCTCACAGAGTCGACAGAGTCGTGCTCCGAGCAGCTCCGAGCTCCCTCTTCGGGGCAGCCCAGGGCCTGGAGGGCTGCACCGCGGCGCCGGGCGGCTGCTGCTGCAGGCGTCTCCCCGGAGCCGTCGGCAGTGCTCCCGAGCCTGGGGCCGCAGGTTTCGAGAAACGCGGCAACCATCTCTGCGGATGCCCTCATGATCGTGGCTGCGCGGTACTCCACAAGCACACCTTTCGCCACGCTGATGTCAGCGAGCTGCTTCCACTCTGGAGACTATGTCAGTAACTGCTGAACATGTGCGCATGAGTGTCCTCATCCCGAGCTTTCGTCTAAAATGGTGCCCGCAACTAGGTCGAGACCGTCTCTGAGAAATGCGCAAGGCAGCCATCGGAATTATCAGCTCCAATGTCAAGCATCTCGACAAGTTCCAATGGATCATGATTGAACTCATCGCTCGGCTCCTCCTGCGCCAGGGAGCTCGTGATACAAATAGGTATAAGACCATCGCAGCGATGGGCCTACAGGGAGCCCATGGAATGGCCCACCCTCTCAGCCATGGCATCCGAGCTACTCGCCGCGATGAACTCGGTTTGTTGATCGCTGCCCTCGACCATGCCGCGCTCCAGCAGCATCGGTGGCTGGCCGAGAACACTCCCTCGTAGACCGATGGGGGAGAATACTGATGTCATGCCGCCGCTTCTGCAGCTGCTGCAGAGCAGGCCTTTCACCCGGTTCCCCCTCCAGGCGCGCTCACCAGAACTCGCGACCGTGCTTTATCGTGAAGGTGACGCCGTGGGCCTGGACCGTGGAGTCCGACTCGGGAGGCGTGGCGAGCGCATCCAGTCGACGGCCATCTCGGAGCCTTGCACCAGCGCTGGGCCAGCTCTCTCTGGCCCCACGCCACGGGGCCCCGTCTGACCACCCTTTGTGGTGGCCTTGCCGCCCCCAGTCCCGACGCCCCCACCTGCTTTCCGCAGGGCGCCTTCGAAATGTCCGAAGACCGACCTCGCAATACACATATACCATATCGTTCCAGCTGCTTGGTGGGTTCCGCTGCCTCCTGGGGCTGGAAGCATGAGCGAGAAAGGTGTGTCGGCGAATTGCGGTGTGCGCGGCAGCG